CCCCACACCTTTTCTGCTAATGGATGCTCTTACCTGAACCATCTCCACGTCCACTGTCCTCTGCTCTGGGTGTTATGAAGACCAGGCTTCCTGTCTCTAATTTTATCCATGGAGAGATTTTCATGAACAGAACTTTGCTGTAATTTAACAACATTGTCCTTGAAAATCCCACAGTTATTTACATAACAGAAGCTATTGTTTGAAGTGCAAAGCAGGTCAAACTTTGGTTTCTGAAGATTAATCGCTGCAGTCTACTTTATATTATCATAATAATTTCATTTATTTTGATACAATTTGTTTCCAGAATCAACCTCAGCTTCTGTGCACAAGCGACAAATCCATTTGTTTCTGGTATAATGGGTAATGTGATTAATGACCTTGCAACTGGATTTCTTAAAAACAGAGAGAGAAAAAGACAAGGATTTCCATTTATAATGCGCAGGAAACCAGCTCAGTCTGCAGCTGTGCATTAAAATCTCTCTGAACTTGTTTGTAAACCACAGACGTTATTTTGAAACAAATTTGCTCCTGCCTTTTGGGGTTTCTGGCCATGTCTGTTCTCTCCAAGAATCTGAGGACACCCCATTTACGAGGGCGGAGCACTGTTTTACTCTGGAATGAAGCCCGTCGCGCACGCCCCGGTCTTACTGGATACAGGTCACCGGCAGGTGCGCTGTCGCTGGACACACACGGGAGAGGTCTGCCAGTGGCCTGGGCTCTGGCCTCGCGCCAGGCCTCCTGCTGGACGCAATGTGTGCGGCGCCCCCTCCTTGCAGTCAGCTTCTGGAGCCTGTTTCTGGTCCCCGCGGACCTGAGACTCTTTCCAGGGACGCAGACCCGGAGGGACTCCTGGGGAGCCTCGTGCGCCTCCTTCCCACCTTCGGAGTCCGATGGCAGCAGGCCCACGCCGTCCACGCGTGGCTCGCGACGGCAGTCCTGGGTTCGAGATGCTCCTGGGCCTTCTCACCTCCCTCCCTTGTGAAGTTGGGGTCACCCCCACCCCAGTCCGGGGGCTGCAGAGACCGCTAAGCGAGGCCTTCCGCCTGGCCGGGCGCTCAGCGGCCTCGCCTGGGGCGCCGGGGCATCAGGGGGCTCCCAGCTTCTTCTCGGCCCGGGACGTCCGTGTCCTCGGGTGGGCCCGTGGGGCGCCTGGACACGCCGGCCAAGGCTCCCGAGGGCGCCTCGGGGATGTTTAAAATTTCAGCCCTCCCTTCCTGGGGCGCTCC